TGATATGCACTACCCAAGTTCATCAGCCACAGTGGGGACGCCCACTCACCCACTGCACCTCCTCACACACTGATGATGAGTTTGTGTGTGCATCCTACTCTGTTTTCAGGCTTTTTACGGGGGAGAGCGGTCACGGGGCACATCTGGAGTGCTCATTTGCCCAGCATGCAACAGTTATAAATCACTCCCCTCTGTGAGAAACTGGGCCATATAAGTCAATGCAGCACCATTACCGCACAGCACCCCCATCATCACATAAACCGAATACCTGCAGCATATAGGCTCATTAAAAAGACTCATCCATCTACTGTCCTTCCAATCCTCCTGCCTTTCCTGCAAAACGACCACATAGAGTCATTAGGGATGTGGCTGTAATAACAGTTGTCCTATACACACTGAAGAGCAGAGGCTGTTGATTTATAGGTCCAGTTAGAGGGAGATCAGAACTTTGATAACATATAATTATCTCAGCCCTGGTGGCGTAGGGCCTCTGGACACGGTCTAATTGAACGAGGATGCTTTGATTTATGACCTCTTTGAGGAAGTTTTGCGGCTGGTTTTGTAAAAGGCCTGAAGCTACATAATTGGTGGCGTAGGTGCTAGCAGCATTAAGCCTACAGTGAAGCAGAACAGAAGAGATCTGCTGTCATCAAAGATCAATGTCAAAAGACAGTGACAAAGCATTCTGAGAGTTTATGTCTCTTTAATGGGGCCGTTTTGAACCTTGCTACCATACCTTTAAGACTCCTGTATGCAAATTACCATGTTTAGCATCCTTTTTCTGAATCTATATGATTGCTTTGTGTAAGAAAAATACCGCAACTGAATCACTGAATCAATGAGTCAGTGAACAAATCATTCAGACTAGTTTTGCCAAACAGATCAACCAATTCATCAATGACTCAAAAGAATGATTCATTCATGAAATGGGCATAGGTAACGATTGGTAACAATTCAATCAAGAATTGGACAATGTAACAATTGTTAAATATTAGATTCACCGATCGACTGGCTAGGGACCGGAATTAGCCAGTTTTCCGCATGATCGGCCCAGATCGGTGACCGGCCGGTCAGTCTGATAATGTATTTATGTCGTGCCAGATGAGATTTGCGCTGCCTGAGTGAGTGTGTAAGAGAAACTCGTGCATTAATCAAAACAAATAAGCACAACAGCACTCATAGAAAGTTATAGTGCTGTAGAAAAAAATATTATAATATATGATTTAGGTACGCAGCATTGCACGGCCAAGATAACCCGAATATCAACGCGATTGCAATGTGACACTGACTTTATACAATAGTAGTTCAATAAGCAAGATGTTAAAATTAAGTGACTAACATTTTAAACACAATATTGACTGTTTTTGCTCAATTTTGCTGACGAAACTAGTTCCAATCAAAGCCACAGCAGAACTGCTGAGTGTCTCCGAGCAACACAGCGGTGTTTCGTTACTGAATGAATCAACGCTTTTGAATGAATCAAGTGATTCAATTATTCAGAAATCCATTCATAAAAGAATGGAATCACTTGCCTCGTTTCTGAATGAATCTGCCGTTTGAACGAATCGGTTGAATGAATGTCTAAATGACATCACAGCCATTTGCTGCCACCTACTGGTGGTTTGGTTTCATATTTAAAAGTATCATTGCATTTTTCCCAACATTTCTTATTTGTACATTTAAAAAATATTTAAAACATTAATTTTATAAAATTATTTATGCATTTGAAATTTTGCAGTGTAAATGTGTTTATAGAGAATATCTGTAACCTAGTCCAGATTGGGGGAATTGTAATGTTTAATACATTATTATTATGTAAATATATTTTTTGCATTGAAAAAAGTATAGATTTTTGTTTATATATACTGTCAATTATAGTTCTTAGAAAAAAAAATGGAATCGGCAAAAATCGGTACTGGCAGGTCACACACACACACACACACACATAAAAAGAAAATACGCCTTTTTTGGTAACTTCATGACTTAACTGACCACGACACTGCATGCACAGAGTTTATTTCGCGCTTTGATATGAAAGGATATAGGCTACAGCGCGCGCCGGCGCCTTTGTGCATGCAACTGAAGATCACGCGCTGCGAGCACAATACCATTTGCTCATGTGACTCGCGCCTGGCGCTGAAGTGAAGTGGAGCGCACGTCTGAAACTTAATCGCCTGCGTTAACGCGCTAATTTTGACACCACTAATATATATATACATATATATATATATACGTATGAAGAGTTCATTTGCAAAAACAATTTTTGCAAATGAACAAAGTTCTTGGGTCATTTTTGTGCGAGATGCTAACGGTCTAATCAGATTTAATGATCTATGCTAAACTGCAGCTAAAAGTGCTACAGCCAGACCCGGAGATTGGAATAGTGGTGTGTTCCTTTAACTCTCCTTGTAGTACATTACAGTTCATAAGAGAAGTAACAATGTCTGATTCACAAACAAATTGTTCTTTTGAGTCAGATCTTGTCAATAAATTTGCTTAATTCAGGTAACAAAACTGGTTTGAACGATCCATTAATTAATCAGATTGGGACTGGGTCATCTTGGGTCATCTTGGTCTGATTCTCACACAATCACTTTGTATACAGCACAAGAGTCATAGACTACTTCAGGATACTCTCACGTTTTTTTTTTTTTTTAAAGGGTCACGAACTGCCTTTGTTTTTGAATAGGTGTGGCAGATTGTAAACTCTGCGTTTGCCTCTCTCGTCATTTACCTACGGTTTGAACGATCCATTAATTAATCAGATTGGGACTGGGTCATCTTGGGTCATCTTGGTCTGATTCTCACACAATCACTTTGTATACAGCACAAGAGTCATAGACTACTTCAGGATACTCTCACGTTTTTTTTTTTTTTTAAAGGGTCACGAACTGCCTTTGTTTTTGAATAGGTGTGGCAGATTGTAAACTCTGCGGTTGCCTCTCTCGTCATTTACCTACTACACATGCAAATCGGGGGCGGGGCTAAACAGGCAGTGATGTAGAGGCAGGCGCTGATCTTCTTCTGTGGAGGCGGTGTTTATCCACACTATTACATCATAGAGTGGTACATTCCACAACTTGCCTTCGATGTAAGCAGTTTTTAGACTAATGAGAAAGTTTTAAAGTGTGTAACACAGCTCTAAGTGAATGAAAACATCCTGCAAAGTTTTAAATCTGAAAGTGCACCATGTATAAAGTTATTGTCTCTCAAAAGAAAGAGTCGACTCTGAATCATTGAAACGAGTCGTTTTTAAAACGAATCACAAGCCGTTTCATGTTGACGTCAACATGAAACATTAGCATATTGCCCGCCCACTTGTCGGACTTTTCGCGCTGGTCTGAATGAAAATGCAAATTCATTCTTTGCCACTAGGTGCCGCTTTTGGAGCGGTTAAAATAGCGGTTTCCCCGGTAACGCTGTACACAAAGCAGCAGCTCACAAACGCTGCTTTATCAGGCATCACAGGCCCTGTCCACACGAATGCAGTTATTTTCAAAACCGTAGCTTTTTCTACACGGTTTGGCCGTTCGTCCACACGCAAACGCTGCACCAGGTCACTGAAAACATGAAACATTTTTGAAAACTCCTGCCAGGGTGAAGATTTTTAAAAACTCCAGTTGCAGTGTTATCGTGTAGACAGCGAAACCAGAGATTTTGGCTTGTGACGTTGGAGCATGCACTGTTATCTCCGCCTACTGGAAACTTTTTCAGGCTTCTGATTGGCCAACATGGCTTTACGGTTGAGATTATATAGCCACCTGTTGGTTTGGCATTCTTTAGGCATTTGTGTTTTCATGTGGACGGAAATTTTTTTTAAAACGGAAGGAAAAACTTCCCGTGTAATAAAATTACCCGTGTACGTGTTGACATGGCCACAGGCATGATGAAATGAAAATGAGACCAATCGGACCAAACACTGCAGATTAGCGTCATGCAAAGGAGGGGTTTGGAAAAATTAATCGTTGAGCGAATCATTTGGGAGTCGTCGAGCAAGTAAGGTAAAAATAAATGCATATTATAAGACAATGAAAATGTTTTTTGACGTTGCATGCCTGTCAACCTGTTGTTGGGGACTCCCAAAACCAAAATATGAACCTTTCATTACCCATAATAGGGGCACTTTAAGTTCTGAAACTTGTCAGAAGATCAAGGGAATTTTGATTTCTCAGTTCATGACCCCTTTAATGAATTGTTTTGGCAGTTTGAATGTGTTTCCAATTACTGTAACTACATGGAAAAGAGCAACCAGCAAAAAAACTCAAAATTTTTCCTTCTGAAGAAATTACACAATCGTTTCTAAAGTTTCGGGTCAATAACTTGACCTGAAAAAAACAAACAATACTTTTATTTAGCAAGGATGCATTAAATTGATCAAAATTGACAGTAAAGACTTTTACATTGTTACAAAAGATGTATATTTCAAATGAATTCTGTTCCTTTGAAATTTCTATTCATCACAAAATCCACAAAGATTCAGCACAACTGTTTTCAGCATTGCTAATAATAAAAAATGCTTCTTCAGCACCAAATCAGCATATTAGAATGATTTCTGAAGGATCATGTGACACTGAAGACTGAACTAATGGCTACTGAAAATTCAGCATTAACATTTTAAGATAAAACAGTTATTTAGATTGTAATAATATTTAGTCATTTTTATTTTGTAATAATTTTAATATTAATGTTTTATAGTATTTTTGATCAAATAAATGCAACCTTGACTTCCTTAAAAAATAAAAAACTTTTGAATGGTAGTAGTAAGTCATAAGGGCCTCAAATTAGGTTTTGTAAATGATGACAACTTCTGCTTCTGGATAAACTATTAATTTGGCAGCTCAAATCTGTAATCACAGGTTCAATCCAAACCAGGAAGCTCATCTAATTATTTCTTGTAAACCATGAAGGCCCTAACAAAGAAATTCATAAGTTCATGTTTCTTGGCCCAAACCGACAACTGACATTCATGTAAAACACACAAGTAAGAACATGGTACTGACGGTGCAGGCTGAGGGAGATGTTGATGGTCTTCTCCTCCGTGAAGCTCTTGGCATTGGGGAATTTGGCACACTTGAGTTGGGTGGCTGCGGGGGAGTCTCCCATGTGGATCCAGCACACGGTCTCCTGGGCGTAGATAAAGTCCATAGCGGTGGTCTGCTTGGTGTTGATGGAGATGGGATTGGCTCCACTTAGAGAGGTGGCTTGGATGTTCTGTGAGTTGGCTATGAAGAGGTACGGATGCCGATCTACAGGGTCTTAAACATAGAAGGGAAAACATGGTCCTTACAAAACAAAAAGGATCTGACCACACAGCGAGCAAGACAAAAAAACTATGTTCATTTCCTACCGTTCTTGGCCTTGCAGGAACGGTTGTCTGGTTGAGGCAAGTAGCCCTCCACACAGCTGCAGGTGTAGGAGCCATCTGTATTTGTGCATGTCTGACTGCAAGTCCCATATACTGCACACTCGTTAAAGTCTGACACAGAGAAAGCCACATGTTTCCCATTCAATACTTCTTCAGTCATCACTTAATTACAAAATCAAAGTCATTCAAAGCTCACCTTTGCATCTCTTTCCATCTTCTCCCACCTCATAGCCATTCCTGCAGTAGCATTTTGGACCCGACAGCGTCACTGAACAGTTGTACTGGCAGCCCATGATGGTGCAGTTATGAGCATACTCTATAGAACAGGAAACAGAGAGAACAGAGAGTTAGCAGAGAAACATCCACATCTAAATTAAATATTGAACAGAAGAGATTAAAAAACTGGTAAGTAGGACTAGACAAATTCACAACATTTGTCAGCTTTTGGATTTAATATAATATATAATATAATATAATATAATATAATATAATATAATATAATACCCAGCGACCTTACAGATGATAAGCAGTTTGGAGAAAATATGGATGGATAATATAATATGTTAATTTGATTTATTTTTTATTTCAAAATATAAGTAGTTTTACTTATATTTTGAAATAAAAAATAATTAAAATTCCAGCAAAAATCCAGCAATTGATACAATTGTGTATTATTATATTATATAACATTACATTACATTACAAATGATATATATTTTTAAATAAAAATTAAATTAAATAAAAGTAAAACTTTTGTTTAATATAATAAAATAATCAAGTAAATAATATAGGCCTAAGTGAATACTAAATGAACACAGGAACAATAAGCATGGCGATTTAAACTTTATGTGCAAGGATATGTCAAAAATAACAAAAACAACAACATTTACTTATAAACATGCAATAAAATATAAAAAAAATAAAGGAAAATGCCACATTCTGAGTGAGGATGAATCACTGAATCATTGAATCAAACCATTCTAAAGACCTACTGGCTACTGTCTTTAGGAAACGTAATAGTCAAATAAAAATAGCATTACAATTATTGTGATATTCACAATGATAATTTTAGATCAGCAACAAAATAGTATTAAACATTGTAAACATTCAAAATACTGCCAAGCTTTACTTTCAACAAAACCAGGTCAAATTAGCTCAAAATTGGTTAAGCAGGTCATCTAGCTTTTTTCAAGTTGTTTTTCTAGAACAGTTAACCAGATAAACCAGACCACCCTGACAACACCCAATCAAATTAACCTACAGCTGGTTGACCAGCTACTTAAAACTACCTAGGATCAGCCTTAGTCTGTTATGAGTGTCTCTCTTACATACGTGCAAAACGTGACGCTTGATACTTGATATTTGTGAAAATGGCTTGTCATACGTGATTTCTATGCGTGCGGTGTACGGTGAAAAAAAAGCCTTTAATGCTCTTAGAGACGCCTTTAAGGCATGTTAGCAAAATATGAAAGCGCAACAGGGGCTTCACTGCTCAACCAACCAAAAACACATACACACAGAGCGTATGATTAAAAGGTTTGACTGGACACAGATGAGTGCACTTGGTTTTATACTCTTGGTATTGCTGTGCTGCCAAACACTGTATCACTGTCCACCAACCTGTGTGAACTCAAACTGCGGCTTTGCTCAGACAAAAAAACAAGTCTCCACGTGCCCACCGGATACACACAGGTCTGGGAAAGCCACATCCATCAAAACAGCGATTTTGTCTGATATGTTAATGTGGGAACGGTTCAGGAAAGTACAAAATCACAATGGTAATATTTACTTAAGGAACTCCGTTATAATCCTACAGGATTTTTATACTAGGAACATCCGTCTCAGTTGAGCTGATCACAAGCACAAGCTGAGCTAAATACACGTGTAAACGTGATCTGATGAGTCTTGTTAGGTGCATCATGATCCAACCGCTCAAAAAAAGTTTAAACTTCAAAATAAAAACCATTTAAAAGACCTTTCACAAGAAAATCTGATCATAAACAGTCACTGGAGATGCATTTGAGACTGAAAATCTGTTCAAAAGTAAAAAAAAAAAAAAAAAAGTAATATTGTGAACTATTTTCATTTATTTAAAAATGTCATTTATTCCTGTGATGACAAAGCTGAATTTTCGGCAGCCATTACTCCGGTTTTCAGTGTCACATGATCATAAATGACAGAAAACTAGATGAAACAATGCCACCATAAGGCATTCGGTCAGTTATGATTTGGAGAACCCACAATGTTGAAGTCCAATTGGTCCACAATGCATAGCAACTCTCCTCCTCTCTGTCCTTTCTTTCTCCTACAGAGACTCAACCACACAAATGTACGCACAGGGACAATGAGAGTCCTCATCACACAAAAGCCTGTGGCACTGAGGGGTACAATGGGGCTTTTGTGGAATGTGTAGAGAGGAAGATGTGCAGGCAAAACGCTACGGTCTGTATCTAATCAATTCCCCCATACCATCCAACCACAGCTCATACACTGACCTCACACCCACAAACAACTCCAAACAGAGCTGAGGGTGTTCGGGCGTAGCGTTGGCTACCCAAAAAACTGTCAGGTCTAAACAGAGTCTGCAGACTTTTTCTGTATTTTCTGCGCTTATTTTGAGGGGAAATTTTGCAGAATTAATTTAAAGGGATAGTTTACCCAAACATTTAAATTCCAAAGTTGTTCTAAACCTGTATGAATTTCTTTCTTCAGCGAAATACAAAAGAAGATATTTTGGAGAATGTTAGTAGCCAAACAGTTTCTGGTCCCTATTAAACTCCATAGTAATTTTTCCATACCATGGAAGTCAATGGGGATCGGCAACTGTTTGGTTATCCACCATTCTTCAAAATATATTTTTATGTTTAACAGAAGAAAAAAAATCTTGCATTTGAAACAACTTGAAGGTGAGTAAATGATGACAGAATTTTCTTAGGTAAAATGTGTGTACTACACTTTTCTGAGTAGCTGAAAGTATTATGGAATTCAAAAATTTAATAATTATGGACATGCAAAGTGTGACATAAAAAGCATCTGCAGGACTTTCTGCAGGCACAGATTTGACATGGACCTAGTCGTGCCATATCTTTAAAGGAATGTTGCTGGTTAAATTCAAGTTCAGCAGCAGAGTTTGTAAAAACATACTAAAAATGCGCTGACAGTTAAGGATTAAAATGGAAATTTATGGACCAACGCTTCATCCATTGATGTCTATTGTAAGTCAATTGTATCAACACTTTTGTTTATTTTACGAATTGAGGTACAAGTCTAAACAGTTTCTGAGGCATGCCACAAATGTAGTCAAAAGACATTCATTTGAATATGAACACACCTTTAGAGCAGTGTTTCTGGGTCCACTAGGGGACCTCAGCAAACTTCCAAGGGGCCACAAAGTGACAAAATTATTTAAAATAGGACAACCATTACAATATGCTAAAACTACTTAAAGAAGAACCACCAGAATCCCCACTGTCTTGTAAAAAGTCTTGGGGCCTTTGAATATTCTTGAAGACAATGTGAGGCTTTGAAGTTAAAAAGTTTCTCATGAATTCCATGAAATCAAAAGAAATCCCATCATTTGTGATCACTGGATAATCATCTTTTTCAAGAGATTCCACAAAATAGGAATGGACACAATTTTTTGTTGATTTTTCCAAAGCACAATTTTAAAATCACTGACATTTCCAGGTTTTCCACACCTATTGAGATCCTGGGAATATTCCTTTAAGCAGGAATTTACCTCCAGTTGGCAAATGCAGTCTCCAATTCCCACAACCATGCCTTGCCTTGTGGGTATTTAGATTGGTATGCAACCCACGTGTTTGTGGTTTATTGGGGCAACGAAAATGATTTTTTTGAGGATCATTTCAAGTAACCATATGAGTGCAGCCAACATTCCATTATAATTAACAGTGAAGTGCTAAAAAAAAAAAAAAAACGATACAAAGCGAGAAAAATAAATAGCGAGACAGAGAAGATTTAATACCACACCACAGGATTTCTCGAAGACGACAGCTACAAAAACACTGGCAGCCAGACCTAAAATCAGTGTTCAACCACCGCACCATATGCGAACCACTCAACCTGTTACAACACTACTATTAACAGCAGGTCCAGGATCAGATCTGTTCCTTATGTCTGGAGCAGGAAAACTTCTTCAGAAACATCTTGTGTTACTGAACATCCAGCTCTCTCGTTCTCAAGCACAAGCAGAGGATCAGGACACACATCCTGCATGCTTCATGAGGAGAACATGAAATGGCTGAAAATTTCATGCTTCCCATTTTGGCACTTGTGATTTCCATTAATATTTCAGTTGATGAGTGGGAGACCAGGCCAGCATTGGGGAATAACTAACTATAAGCAGAGAAGCTACTAACTTAACTGCATTTTTCAGTAGCGTGACAGCATTGAGCACAGATGTTCCAGTAAAAGCTAGTTTATACAACAAGTAGCGGTAAAGCATTACAAAACGCTACATCACTGTATTTGTCACATTTACGCACACAGTCTCATAACCGAGCAAACTGAGGCACTAAACAAACACATTCCTAAACTCTCAAACAGCTTTGGGAAGTCACTTCATTCATTTCAGTGAGTCAGTCAATTCAGAGTGCTCCATTTAAATGTACTGGTTAAAAGTGATTCATTTTTGATTACTCACTTGTTTTCATACAACTCATTGTGCACTATTTTATATAGACTTCTGTGTGGTGAAATAAATTGTTAGCTATATAAACAATATAAAACTAAATACATATATATTAAGAAATTTATATTCAGATGAATTCTGCTCTTTTTAAGTAAATTATTTAAACATAATTATATTCAATTTGATTATTTTTTTCAGGATTAATTTGATGAATCGAATAGTAAAATGTACAACAGCATTTATTTGAATTAGAAATGTTTTGTAACATTGTAAAATGTCTTTACTGTCAATTTTAATCAACTGAATGTGTGCTTGCTGAATCCAAGCCCCTTTTTACAATATGTAATATAAGTCTCAGGTGTCCCCAGAATGTGTCTGTTAAGTTTTAGCTCAAAATACCCCACAGATCATTTATTATATCATTTTGAAAATGCCTATTCTGAGTGGAAGCAGAAACACGCTGTTTTCGTGCATGTATCTTTAAATGCAAATGAGCTGCTATTCCCAGCACCCTTTTCCAGAATAGGACTGTGCCTTTACTGCTTGTACCTCATATACTCTGCCAAAAAACATCTGTTTGGTTTTGATTATCATGTCTATCGCACTGAAATAATGCATTTAAAACAACACATTTGTTACTGAACATCCAGCTCTCTCGTTCTCAA